AAATTACATGACAGGTTTCCATACTGTAAACGTATTACCTAGTAGTTCACAGACAACAGTTTAAAGACAGAGCTACAAAACTACAAACGTACATTTGACAGATCCACTTGTACTATACTCCATTCTAGAAACATGAGATTAAGTAGAAATCCCCGAAACTGAGGGCAGAAAATACATTCTAACCTACATGTCAACAACACAAGACACCTTTCCGTTTCCTATTTTTGTTGCTCTGTACACAGTTCAATTGGGGTTAAAAAAAAAAAAACCCAAAAAACAAAAACATTATGTTCATTCTGCACTAGTAACATAAAAAATGGATGGCATCAAAACCATAGCTTATTTCTTCTTGCCTGTTTATCAGCCTTAACTTCCACTGTTTTTCAGTCTCATCAACAAATAGTATGATACACTTGGCAAACAAAGGAAGATAGAATGCATATTTTTAGGGTTTGATATTACCATAAATCTATATCAACTGTAAACTCCTATTGTAAATTGGACTCAAAAGCTATTGATCAAGAAAAAATTAGCAAAACTTTGTATAATGCATAAATGTTTAAACAAAATAGTTAAATGCTTATGAACCACTAGTATCTTAGCATAAAGTAGCATTTTCCAAAATTAATAAAATATTGTTTTGATGCAATATCTTATGCAGAAAGTTTCCCTTGATTTGAATGAGTACTGCTTATACATAGGGACAAAGAGATTAAGTGGATAATTTAAAGGGCAAATATTTGAACTGTCGGCTGTGTTTCCAATTACAGGCATATCCATGTGAGCATATCCAAGGAGAATCAATGCTCTGAGTTTGTTTTTACAAGGATGTTCAAGAAAGTAATTGTGTTTCGTTGACTGCTAGGGCACAGCCTTTGCTTTTGTAAAATGAAAAGCAGATTTTCAGGAATGAACAATAACTTATTTGTTTTTCCATAAAAAAATAAAAAATGGTTTTCTTGCCTTGACAATGTCGAAACAATTGCTTCATTTCAATACCTGTCAAGCTACAGGACATAAGTACAAATTAGACAAATATTTTAAAAGTAATATTTCTGGACTATAACTGATATTTTAAGTACTAGTAGACTGTTATCTAATTGATACATTAACTTTCTGGAAAAGAGACTATTTAGATATCAATATTGCATAAATTTATTTCAGGATAGTGTTTAATATATCTTACATTACAAAACTGTAGCCTGACCCTTGTCCTTGCGGCGACAAGAGAGGCAAGAGAACGCATTCTGCATCCGTGGGGAGTTTCTGGCACAACATTGCTACAATTAATGATAAAGTTTCAGTGCTCTAATGCTTTAATGATTAATGGACAGACAGACAGACAGACAGATAGATATGTGTGTGTGTACAGGTATGCATATATACACACATATATAAAGATTTTATATATTAATTTTGTGTATATATATATAAATTTTATATATATACTTTCACACTTCTGTAACTGAAGCAGGATTCTCTTTTCTTGAAGAGCACTTTTAAGGTTAATTAGTTATTCGCTCTAAGGGATTACAGTATTTTTTGTCATCATGACACAACTGCCCCAAATTGCAGCATTTCTTTCACATTGCCAGGCTAGACCTGCTCAGAGGAGGAATTCTGTCCTACACTTTACATCCACCACATCTCTTAATGCCAGCCTTAGCATTAGAATCAACAGGAGAAAGTTAAAATCATCGTCTCCTTTCTCTTGGGCTCCCTTCTAGTACGTGACTACTAGAATGCAGCAGAACTTTCTTCAGGTCAGTACTTGAGGATATGCTACAGCTTAGAGGGACCAATACCCTGTGTCCTCTGCCTGTAGCAGGTAGGAAAACTTGCTGTTTTGTGAAGAAATCCAAAACCAGACAGTCCACACGAGTTGCAACCTTGGTGTATGCAGACCATGTATCTATTTTGTGATTTCTTTTCAAGTGAGAAGCAGCAGTGTGTTTTTCAGTATCTTTCGAGGACAGTGACTGTACAAGTCACCACTGAAGGCAACATGCAGCTCTTCTCTTTCAAACTGAACAGTCACATAGTGATTTCAAATAGCGGGTGATTCCTCCCAGCCAATTCAGATTCGGAATGGTTAAGATGTTGGGGTAGGCAGAAAGTGGATGCTGCTCTGACAGTTAAAAGCTCCTGAGCCTTCCCATCCCCTATTAACTAACTCTTTCTGATCAACATTATGAACAGGCAATATATTCTTTCAAACTGTATATTCTTGACACTGTATGCTTGTCCTTTAGTCCATCCTAAAGGAAAGAGAATCTCCCTAAAACAGAGCAGTAAACTTTCTTTAAATTCCCATGCTGAGGCACCTCACTACTGACCTGCATGTACCTTTAGCGCCAAATACATTAAATGGCAGAAAAGCTGTTGCTGCTGGACTCTAGCTTGGGAAGACACTGTAATAAGAACATTTCAGTAGATCCTTCTGTATCTATTTACGCATAAAAATATGCCCTATAGTGAATACGTCTAGATTTTTAGTACCTCTCAGGAGTCACCTTCTTCACAACCATAGGCTGGTAAGTAATAGCCTTCTTATCTTTGATGCCAGTGTAACTGAAGTCCGAAGCAAGGATGCCAAGTTCAGAAGCCAAGAAACCGATTGCTTCTAGTGTCTCCAGATTTTCTTTCTGAAGGGTGAAAGCTGAAACAATCATTTTAGAATTATTGCAAATCTACATTTCTAAATTACCCAGGTGCCCTGTTCTGACTGAGGGACAGAGTTCTTCTCTCAAAGTGTAAGGTGATGGAAACTGCCGAGAAATTGTGTCTTCTCACCCTGTTTCCTCTCATAGGCGCCCAAAATAAATAAGACTTCTTCAGAATAGAAAATAAATGAAGCTCTTACAGTTACCAGAAACCACGTCTTTAAAATCAGGACTTGATAAAATGCAATTCAATGCTACAATTTATGTGTCAACTTAATGCTAGAAACATTCCACGTACTAGAAATGAACCACTTGAAGTAATGAGATCATAAATCAGATCTGCCTTTTACCAAGCTGTCCAACATCTAAATGCATTCTAAACTCTGAATTCTAAAACCCCCCACTTACTTTCAAGGGAAAACAAGCATGCATAGAGTAACACAGAGCAAATGCTACAGCTGAAAGAACTGCAACCATTCCCACTGAACAGCTTTTGGAAAACACTGCAGGAACTTTGTTCACCTGGGTCATACTTATTCTCCAGTGATGCAGCTTCACTGAATTAATGGTGGTTTATTTGGGCAGAAACAAACTATGAACTAGGCCCATATACCATTGGAAAAAAAAAATGATTCTGAGGCTCGCTCTTACAAACGAACATAATATTTGATAGTTTCATTAAAAACCTAGTATTTACCTGTGTAAAGTTCTTGGTTTTCCTGGAGACCACCAATAGGTCTTTTCTTGGACCAACTTCTTTCTCTAAATCTTACTATTATTGACATATTTGGCTGATCATTTACATTGGTTACAGTGAAAGACTTTGTTTCTAGGAGTTTTCCAAACTTTCTACTGATAAAGTGGTGAATTGCTTTTCTGTGCTCTTTGTTCCCATCAGGCTCAAAGGAAAACGTGGAGTTCTCCAACTTTGCGTCTAAAAATTTAAAGAAATCCTTCGCCTCCTTTTCACTCACTAACTGACAGAGTTCTTTGTAATCAGCATTTCCTCGCACCGTCATTTCACTGCCTTTTGTGACAGCGACCAGAAAGGGGAACTCCTGCCTGATGGCACTGTGCAAAGCAGCTCGCTTCTTCTTGTCCAGCACAGGCCCCAGCGAGAACTCCCGAGTGCTGCCATCAGACCCATCCGCCGAGTCCCAGGCAGCCTGCAGCTCACAAGCAAACTGATTAAGCAGCTCGCTCAGGGGCTTTCCTAGCAGGGAGTCCAATGTATTGGCTTCCCCGGGGCTAAGCGTGGGCTCAGGGTGGCTCCCGCAGCGCAGCGATGCCAAGCAGCACCCTGCCCGCGCCAGGCTGGGCTCGGCAGGCCGCGGCAGGGCGGCAGGGCCGGCGTGGGGGGCATCGGGGGCTGCTCTCGGCTTTTTGGGCTGCTGCGGGCACGGGCAGCCTTGCGCTAAGGGCGCTTCGCCGGGCTCCTGTGCGGGCGCCTCCATCTCCGTCACCACGAAGTCGCCAGGCGCGGTTTTTATGGTGCCGCGGAAGCCGAGGTGATCGGTCACGTAAGTGAAGGAAGGGAGCATGGCCCTGTGGGGACCATCCGACCTGGAACGAAAAAAGGGGGGGAAAAAAAAGAAAAAAAAGAAAAAAAGAAAAAAAAAGAAAAAAGAAAAAAAAAGAAAGAAAAAAAAAAGAAAAACGAAAGAAAGAAAAAAGGGGAAAAAAAGAAAAAAAGAGAAAAAGAAAAGAGAGGGCAGACTACGAGTTACTACGGAAAGGACGCTCGGGAGGGGGCGTTACGGGAACCGTTAACGGCTCCGCTGACGGGAGGGGGGGAGAAGGAGGGGCGGGGCTAGCGCCGAGCGCGCCCCCCCCACCCAGCCTGGCCCGACCACCCGCCCGCCAGGAGGCGCCACCAGCGCGGGGGCGCCCGCAGGGGCCGCCGTGCGCACAGTCGCTGCCAACTCCACCAGGCAAGCCCACAAAGAGCTTCCTGCTCCCCCCGCGCTCCTTGCTCGCCGTGGCACGTTCCGCAGGAGGCGCAGCCAATGGGAAAGCCACGTAGGGATGGACGGGGGCGGAGGGAGCGGGCGTACTGCGTCTCGGGGCGGTTGGCGACGTCAGCGTTGCGTCACTGCCTCTTAAAGGGGGAGCGGCGCCCCGAGAAAGAGTAAGGGGGG